TATATATCTATATATATAAATCTTTAGATTAAAATCTTATTCTTTAAACAAATAATAATAAATATAATATTTTTTATTCTTTTTTATAATAATTTTAAAATCAATTGAAAAATGAACACATTGTGTTGCTCAGCAATAAACAACATGTTTATTTCCGATTTTATAGTTATTATATTAAGAATATCTTTATATACTTTAAATAAAATTTGATCAAGACTTTTATGATAAGAAATCAAGACCTATGCATCGATCGCACTAATATGGAGAAGAAAAAAATAATTAGGTAATAATTTATATATCTCGGTTATTTCTTTCAGGTTTATCTTCTCCTTTTTTTACGAACTCTAAGTAAGTAATACCAACAACGGGTTCTATATCTATGGAAAAGTCTACCCTGACACCAAATTACGTATTTAATGTACTAAGAATGAGATACTCGTCCGGTAATGTGGTAAGTGTTTCTCGTACATATATACGAGCGTGTATCCATGTGTAGCTTATTTTTTCCCTCGTTCGTTGCTCGTTTTCATTCAAATTAGTGTGTATTCGCGAGCACTTATGTATGCCTATAATTTTCAATATACGGTTGAAAAGAATAATTACAAAGTGCACAGATTATAATGCTTAACTAATTTCGATCGAGCGTTATAGAAATTACGGTATAGAAATTATGTTATAAAATTTTACATGTAAAACATTTTATCCCAACTTTAGATTAAATGATTAAATTTTCTCAGAATAATAAATAAATTAATCGTATGTTACGTGTACTTGTGTATATGTAATTTTTGCTTGTGTATCGAAACGGCAGGATATCGAGACAATTACTTTGTCAGAATCTTGACAAAATGTGGTTGCCAAGGATATTGTACAGTTATTTACCATCTATATCACGTTTTCAAGAAATAACGTTCAGAAAGATATATTCTTGAGAAAACCAATGTTTATATACTCACGGCACGTTACCTCGTTCTTCAATGTCTGAATATCATTTATGTCTTTCCATTATAACATTTATATTTCTTAAAATTCTTCGACAAAATTCGCGAATTCAACGATATTTTATTGCTCACGATAGGATACTACTTTTACTCTTCACATTGGTAAAAAAATAAATATCCTAAATTTTTATTGTGTCTAAAATAATTTACTATATTATTAACAAAAAATTTTATTTCTTGCGATTTATCTGAATTGACGTATCGGAATGTTTGAAAAACATAAATATGTTTCTCTTATATGTTTCTCTTGTATCCGTGAGTATAGGTTTTTTTTTGGTGCGAAACCGAGCGTACCGAAAGAGCTGTTTTCAAGAAAAAGTTTTTTTATAGCGCATATATTATATTACATATGCTTTACTATATAATTTGTATAAAATCAGATCTTTATCTTCAAGCAAGGTACAATTTTCTTTATAAAACCCATATGTAGATAAAACTTAAATAAACCTATTTATATTTGATGAATAATTAAAAATTTCAATATACAAAATCGGCATATTATTTAGCTAATTTGTTTAGAAAGTGTACGTGCAAATATTGAATTTTTTTCACTGAAAGAAGCGACGTAGGGAAAAATAATCGTGTACGCCCGCTGCTTATAATTGTAGACCGATATCTAGTAGAAGTATCGCAGTTATTGGAAGTCCGTAATCGCACGAGAAACACATTCGTTGTTTCAACGAAAACGTCGTGAATTTTACGCCTTTTCTAATTTTGCTTAGTGATCGTACGAAGGAAGTATTCGTGCGACGTTGAAGATAAAACATTTCAACGTCAAAAATGATGAAATCATTTTCGCGAAATCGCGTCACCGTTTTTCCTTCGGAACGATGATGCATCCTACAAGATCTAGCTAATCAACGAAAATTCACACATGCAAGGTAAGTGATTAATCGTAGATTAGCTAAATTCTTATTTTGTTCGCTGGTTTCTTACAATTGGATGCCGGTTTGTTTATAGAGCTTTGATTTATTTCCCTTTTTTAAGGTTTCGATTAATTAATCGAAATGTCGTCGTTAATAATCCTGTCGGCCCATATAACCATTAATCCTTCAGTTTCAGCCCATTTAACTAGCCTACTCACCGCCTCGATGTAATTATTGGCTCCTCATGGCAGTATCGCGCCAATTCGTACGTTCATCGCTTGATAATCGCGATGGCTCATTGTGTAGCACCCGATTAACAATATACATTATACGTTCTAGGAATCAGTCACAGGCTGAGCCCCGTGCGAGGCGGTTTCGTATGTCGCCCTTCAGGAGCTAGCCAAGTAAGTACGTAGCTGGGGTGGGGTGCGTTCATTTTCTATGTTTCGAGTTTTTAGTTTTTACTATCGTAACATCTAGTTATTTTTCTTTCTTGCTTAAGAAAAACAAAAACAAAAGAAAGAACCGATTCAGCAAGGCATTCGTCGTACCTTTATTTTGGTCGCCCAGAGAAGATCGCGCTGTGTGTATCTTCCAGGCTTCCTAAATCCTCGCTATCTTCCCCTCTTGATGAAAAACAAAAAAAAAAGAACACCGATGACTGCATCCGCTAAGTCTTCTACTTGAGAGCCAGCAGCTCACTGACTCGAGGAAGATTGCAAAAATCTTTGCATCAGATGTTTCGTACCTGTTTCCCGCGTGCGAAGATGAGAGGAAGAGAACTCAGGATCTTCTACGTGATCGACCTTACCAACTACTTCGCTTCGGAATCTTCGTCCAGGCCGCTCCAGTCTCTTGTGTCTTCCTTAAAAGAAAGAGAGTCGGCTCAGTAAGGTATCCTATGTGGGTACCTTACTGACTGCTTTCAGAAGATCGCTTTGCGTTTTTTCCAGGCCGCTTACGTGATGCTGCTGTTGATGCTGAAGAGCGGCGCTCTGCTGCTCCTGCTGTAACTTGGCCTGTTTCTCCGCCTGCTGTTTCTTCATCATATCTTGCTCCTCACGCTCACGTCTGGCTTGTTCGTTGATTTCTTTGACCGCCCTCAACTCCTTTTTCAGTTTCATTCGCCGATTCTGGAACCAGATCTTGATCTGTCGTTCCGTCAAGCAGAGTGCATGCGCGATCTCTATTCGTCGTCGCCGCGTCAGATAGTGATTAAAGTGAAATTCTTTTTCTAATTCCAATGTTTGGAACCGCGTGTACGTTTGCCGACCTCTGCGCCTCGGACAGCCATTCGGACCTGAAAATGTTAAGAAATCTAATTTTTCGAGACCACTCGATAGTCTCTAGACTCTCCTTTTCTTAGAGATAAATTGTAATCTTAATGTGCAACAAATTTATTTAGATTAAAATTAAAAAATGTTCAAAATTATTTTTAATCTAAAAGCTTTTTTTGTTTGTATCTCTAAAATAATAAAATATGTTAGCAAATTGAAAAATACAAATATATATAAGGAGGCATTAAAAGGAGGATATAAATATATATATTCCATATATTTCTGTAATAAAGAATTGTACCGTAAACATCTTTGATCAATTTTTTTATTAATTTTTTATAAAGCATGATCTCACCAACAATAATAATTACAAATAAAGATATTCTCTTTCTTGTTTTTGACTGATAATCTTAGGTGCTTTTCACACCCGATCACAAATCTTAACTCTCTCTTCACTTTCTCTCTCTCCAAAAAGAAAAAAATATTCTTTCAACCTGCCGCTTATTGTGAGGGTTAAAACATGTAAAAAAGGATGAATAAAAATAGAAAGTTCCCAGGAAGCTCTCTCACGAAAGTTACAACGAACCCTTTCTAGTGCTATTTCACTCGTTTAACTTTCTCCAAGAATTTATGTCATAAACAAAGATGCAGGCGACTTTAAATTTTTTACGGGTTTCAAAGATACGAATCGAAACAGGTAAAAAACCCGTTGAACAGGTAAAAAAAAAGTTTTGAGCGACGTTGCTGGATTTATTTGAACAGTTTCTACGACAGCACGAGTTGGCTATAATTAAATGGCAGTAATAATAATTAAAATCAAATGTAAAAATAATCAGGGAATTATAAATAAAAGCTAGTGAGACAAATTTAACTGTGATAGTTACATATAAATGGTCCCTTTACACTGTAATGTCATTGCTGAATTTCGAATATATTTTCGTAATCAATTCAAAGGTAAACTTCACTTTCAGTTGTCGCCACGAGCGCATTTCTTTTCTGAAGATCGCTAAGAAACCGGTTCTTTAGTGTGCAAAGAGTGGACAGCCATAATACCATCATTCGCGGAGCGACGCTGAGTGGCTATATTATTGCCTCGTGATGAAGCAAATGCGTGCTACTGACCAATAAAAGATAGCAAGATTTTTCTTTCCGATTATTTTACGAGAGTACGAAGATTGTATCAAGACGATAAAAAAGTGAGAAAATTAATTATTATATTGGTTGGAAATCAAAGGAATGAGTTACAACAATTAGCCACAGATGCATTGAAAGTAACATACATGTATATATGCATATGTAAGAATATATGTATATATAAATAAAAATAAAAGCATTTCAGTTTTTATTTAATAATTATACAAAATAGAGATTTTTTTATCAAAACTGCTGATTTAATGAGCAAGATTTAAAAATTTTTTTTATCAAAACTGCTGATTTAATGATCAAGATTTTACGATCGGAAATTAAAGAACGGTGAAAAAATGATATGTAATTACAATTTGATAATCGTTAGCCCTGAACTTGCTAGATCGTAATCGAGAAGAATGTAGATACTGCCTTGAAATATATCACATTCGTATATAAATAAAACTAAAGCATAACCATATTTCATAGGAAACAGTAATGCTATTTATGAGGTTTAGTAAGCGATCGCAATTTACACTAAAGTTATGGTAATAGCTATGTAGTCGTGATTTGCTTACATCTTACGGAATAGCATGTCGAGAAATCGGATTAACAAATAGCAAAGGGGATATTACCCTATGACAGATTTAAGCGAGAGGCACCGTATTTTCTTTCGTCATAATGATACTCGTGCTGTATAGCGAAGCGGGAGCTCGAATGACACGCACGTGCGCAATTCTCGATGCAGGATGACCCATCAAATACGTATCGCTTTGGGCAGCGCGAGCAGAAAACTCTTCGGAGAATGCAGAGAATGCTGATATTGAATTCAGCATGGCCGTTCTCGCCAATGCGGTCCACAAGCTCGCGGCGGTGTACCTGAATCAGCGACCACACTCACGAATTCCGCTTTTTACGTACGTGTGGTGGAGGACCAGCCGCGTCTGTATTCGTGCGAATCAACACCGTTTTTAGCGCGCTCGTGTGCGTTCAGTTTGGCACACGTACGTTCGTTGCAGCCACGGGGTGGTTACCGAAGCCCGAAGGGTGGGACATAGGTTACCTTGGCAACCCAGAGGGGAGACCATTCCATCCTCCTTGCGGCATATCACGCAGGAGCAAGCCTAGCACAGCAACTAGAAAACTCTTGGTTGCATCCTCTCCACCGATTCTAGAAGAGCCCGTCGATCTTGGAAGACGGGTGAACTTGATTGCGCCCACTCCATTCGCTCCATAAATATGGCCTATCGGCGAAGTGCTGGTGTGCGAGTATTATCAATAATTTCGATAGGGAAAACTAATGCCGCTGCGCCAGAATTATCCGACGAGAATAAAGTTGCGCGCTGAGCTAGAGGCTTACCAGAGGCATAAAATAAAAGACGTTTGATAAAAAGTAAATTAAATTACTTTTCTACTTAAATATAAAAATTACTTAAATAAAAATGCAAAACATTTTTAAAGAACTTAATGTAAACGACAGTTAAGGCAATTAATAATTTCCTTTACATATATAAACTTCACGCATATAAAAATGGTCGATGCTTCTTTTTATGTTGAAATTATACCGTAAAAAAAATTGATAAATAAATAAATTCAAGCATGGGATAAGAGATTGATATCTCATTTATCTCTAGAAACCCGCAGCGTTAATTAGCGTTCTCTGCCGTAAATGATTCGGAGACAAATAAATTATAGTCAATTGTCAGCGGTTCATTGCCACTCTACAGAAGGGCGATGAGATGCGCGCACGGAAATACGCCATTATGGATGGCACAGGCCTGTGTCTAATTACAGTCATATACTAAGTTTCATATCTGCTTTAGGTCTGTTTCAGCATGCAGCTCAGGGCTTGGGGAACAATCGTGGATATTGTGGAAGTTGTCAGACTCTGTACCAACTACGAATCCAGATTTGGCAGACCTACACTATTTTTTATGTGGATGTCTGAAGAATTATTCTTCTGTTTTAAAAAGTAACAAACGTTTATCATACGTTTCATCGAATCTTTTCGATATCGTTCCGTTACGCAAACTAAATGAATTGATGAGATGTAATTACTTCTATCTTTTAAATAATCCGTCAGCAACCAATGCTCTTAAATCTATTGAATTATGTATTAAACAGTGTCCACTCGATATTGTCAGATGCTTTCGCGTTTATGAAGCAGCTCATTTGGTGCGATCGATAATATTGTCATCACTATGTAAATGAGTCAGTACCATTAAATCTTAACACTGTAGCTGCATTATTCCCTCGATCGAAGTGCGAGCTAAGGACGGATATCTAATTTATTAATGAGTCGCGCACTACCACTAGAACTACCTCTGAAGTGTCATCTGGATTCCATCTAAAAATTAACTAGCCTCTAAACTATTACTACCGCAATACTAAAAATTTGAGCAAACGTAGCATGATGACGGTGCGTCGAAAAAGTGTTAGACAGATTCTGCAATATTGCCAACACCGTCTAGTCTCGACAACACCTGCAAATCGCGAACCCTCGCGTCTAGATATGTCGCATTACGGCCTAACCCCTCTTTGTTCGACCGCCGGAGGGACCATGCGTGAGCCCCTCAGCGATCCATTCATAAATATCTCAAAACGGCTTAATTTCGCGACGCTGCGGGCAAATAAAATCTCGAGCCGGTGAAAAATGTAGACAGTTTGCCAGATGAAGGAGAACGGGCGGGGGAAAGGAGTAGAGGGATGAGAGAGGAGATACGACGTAGCCACGACCCACGACTCGCTTGATCGCCTTCTCGGGTCACTGCAGCCTCTGCCAGAACGATAGAGTTGGAGAGGACCGGATAGGAGGTATGGTTAAAGAAAGGGAAGGGAATAGAAGTGGAATGTAAAAGAAATGATCGAAAGAGAGAGAGAGAGAGAGAGAGAGAGAGAGAGGGAGGGTAAGGAGAGTGGATGAGATATGTAAAGGAACGAGAGGAATGGGAAGTGCCAAGGAGGAAAAATGTCTACAATAACTCCGTCGTCCGTTCCGTCGCGATTCCAGCTCCGGGTGCGATTTATACGGCTAATCCTCGCACTTTTCTTACCCGTGTCTCGCCCAGTCTCGCCAGGTATCCGGCTAGATTCTGTATTTCAAGGCCGCCGATTATTCAGCTATGCCAGACGGTAGATAAACCGTTGTTCTATCTGACATTCATTAAACCACACCATCCCTGCGCCCGATTTGCGAGCCCCAGCGACGTTGCCGATGGTCGCACTTATCGGCGACGTAAGTCGCGTGAAAAATTCGAAATAGCTGGAATCTGGACGATCGAGAGATGGGGAAGTTCGCGTGAATTTTACACGCGGAGAATTCGCAGACTATGTTATAATTTCTATTCCGTAACTGATAACGCAGGGTTTTTTTTCGCAATGCAGCTTCGAAAAAGGTAGTATCCTCGATATTATTATTGCCAGACAGTATCTTACAGCCAGTACGTATCTGATACCACCGCGGCAAGTGCGCTATGTAAATTTTATGAGAGCTGCTGTTCGCAGGTAATTATTGTAAGCGGTACACGAAAGAGGCCCCGATTAAATCTACTCTAATTTAAAGATCAATTTAAATAAAACGCGATTTGATTATACTTTGATACGTATAATTGGATAATTTTACTATTTAAATATATTGTAGATTGTAGCCAAGATTACATTACTTATTCGAATATATCGATGATACATTGCCTTTCCATTTGAAATGTTAATTTCCACCGCTAATATATCAATTATGAGGGAAGAAATTCAAGTTACCTAACTAAACTAATCTTGGAATAGTCGGTCACATTGGATAAGAAATATTTTATTTCTGCTCCATTAATTTCGTCAAATTATTCCTTTTAGCATCCTAGAAAAACTACTAAAAATCTATATTTTGTTATGCAAGAAATTCTAA